CTCTCTCTCCCTCTCTCTCTCCCTCTCTCTCTCTCTCTTTCTCTCTCTCTCTCTCTCCCTCCCTCCCTTTCTCTGTTAATCAACTGGAACATGTTGTTGTTACTCCTTGTTTCATCAGGCAGACAAATGCGCACAAAAAGTTTGTAACAAGTTTTAGGTGCCAGATTTTCGAATGGTGAATGGCAGAGAAGGGTATAAGATCTAGATCTGCGTGTACATGTATTCTATTCTTTGAATGGCAGAGAAGGGTAGATCTAGATCTGTGGGTACATGTATTCTATTCTTTGAATGGCAGAGAAGGGTAGATCTAGATCTGTGGGTACATGTATTCTATTCTTTGAATGGCAGAGAAGGGTAGATCTAGATCTGTGTGCACATGTATTCTATTCTTTGAATGGCAGAGAAGGGTATACGATCTAGATCTGCGTGTACATGTATTCTATTCTTTGAATGGTTGAGAAGGGTAGCTTATCAATTTTGGGCCTCCAAGGGATCTTTAACGTGTGCGTCCTGCATACAGGACCTCCGAGATTTTTCGCCCTTGTCCGAGAAGGCTAGGTGTAGATTTTTCCTATCAGAAGATCAGGGGTGTGACTGAAAGACAGCAGTAAGAATGAGCCAAGGAGTAGCAGTAGAAAGTTTACAGAAAGAGTCATGAGCCCAGAGGAGGGGGCAAAGGAGGTGAGGGGGTGGGGGCAGAAAGAGGAGAAGAAAGCAGACGACAGGACATTGCTAAATGAGGTGCAAACGCTGTAAAACTCTTTCTAAAACATAAAACAATAAAAGAACGAGAACAGCATTGCTGACGAACGTATCAACCAGAACTAGGAGATGTACGGTAGTGGAAGACCAAGTGGTAGGACAAGTGGTAGACCAGATAATTGGTAGACCAAGTGGCCGGACAAGTGGTAGGACAAGTGGTAGGACAAGTGGTAGACCAAGTGGTAGGACAAGTGGTAGGACAAGTGGTAGACCAAGTGGCAGGACAAGTGGTAGGACAAGTGGTAGACCAGATAAGTGGTAGGCCAAGTATGGTAGGCCTATTTTGTTTATTCTCTCATATAAGATATCTCCTGTTGTCACCATGTGTAATTGGTGACCTTTGACCCTCGCTGTGCTGTGGTGTGTAGAAATAGCACACTGTGGTGCGTAGAGATAACACACTGTGCCGTGTAACACAACAAGAGATAACACAACACACTTGTGTTCACTGACTGCACGCGGAACAGATATACCTGGGGGTCCGCTGATACACATGTATTTTTTCTATAACCTAACACGTGGGTCCATGGATGCTGTCAGAAGGATGTGATTGGACACTGGGGTGGGGGTGGGGGT